GATTTAAATTAGTTTAAATTCATTAAAGAATTTTGCGGAAACAGAAATGCTGTATTTCCTAATGACAACTTAAATAAAGAGTTTTCTCAAGAGAAGAATTTCCACAAAGAAAAGAATTTCTTTGTAACAAGCTAAAACAGTGCAACGACAGTGAAGGCAATTATAAAACAACCACTGATAACATTTAACTAATTTAACCGCACTATTTTATTATCAATACGTAAACCTAAAGAACACAATTTAGCATTAAAAATGGTTTCGGGATTTTCATCACTTCCATTAGACTGACCACTTGCTAAATAACTTTGAATAACTTTGGTCCTCAACCGCTTCACCTTCATTTGTCCATTTTCTGCTTCTTTTAAAGTTCGCTTAATTGCACGTTTCCATTTGAATCTTTTCACATCATCTGTTGTAAATATTCCCTATAATCATCACTTTTAGCTTATCGATCTTAGCATTTTGTCCATTTTAAATTAAATGGAAAATTTGCATAAATCATAATAAAGCATTAGTTAAACTTTTGATATAATTAGGCAAATACGTTTTATGACAAATAAATAATCCGAAGTGCTGCGTACCTGTCCGGCACCATTATTATCATCTTCATATATACCATTTTTCTTTGATTCGTTTTCCCCAGTCTTGATTTCTTTTACTTTCTCACCATCGCTTTCCGAAGCTCCCTGCTTACAATTAAGTCTTTTATCATTGCCCAATCTATTGTAACTTCCATCATTTTTTTTCGATTCCACTTCTTCAGTTGCTTGTATTTTTTCGGCTTGTTCACTTATACAGTTCCATGCCTGTATTATTATACTTATAAAGTAGCTGACTAGTTAAAACAGTTGCTCGGAAAAACAGGAAAATATGGCGAAACCATGACGAATTTATCAATTTCCTATTTGACTCTGCCGCATTGAATCTTCAGATGCTTTACCTTAACACACAGATCTCGATTGTGGATTTTAAAGGAATTCTGCAAAAAATTGATGAACTTCAGTTCCTTCCTTGGTACATTGTTAAAACCACGAATTTGCTGGAGAAGATCTTTCAATCCCTTATCAGTGACATTTTTTATTGCTCGTTCTACTTGTTCAATCCACCGATTCTGCTTTGCTTCACCCTATAACTTATTGAAATAGAGTAAACCATTATTTCGAATGTTCTTAGAATATTTTAAAACACAGAAAAGCATTACTGAAATGTTACTATTGAAAACTCACTTTGTTTTCTTTTTCAACATAATTCTTCCCACCATACTTCTTATCCTCTGTTACACATTTGATGTGGTTCTTATAGGTTCCTATAGAAAAAGCTTGGCCACAATCCAAACATGAATAAGTTGTATCTCTGAAATGTTTCGCGAGAATAAAATATGTTCTATAGCCCAAACCTAATTTCTGCAAAACTGATTACTAAAACATGGTTCAGCACTTCAGCAGTTATGAAATAGACATAATCTCTTCAAGAACGGAGACTGCTATGTGGGTCATGTATTACTCATCACTGTAAGAAGAAATTCCGATCCACACAGACCACCACAACTTAAATATTAGTCATGTGTCGTTTTCAAGAAATCAATATTGATTGGTTACCAGAATGTAAAATGCAACTAAATTTTTTCAACCACCAAGTTTGAAGGTAATAGAGAAAGCTAGTAATTTTAAAGCACCTGCTGATACAGTTACACCTCGAAACATAATGATTCTCATAATGAGAAACGCTTCATTAATACGGCAATAAATGTTTTCCATAAAAATGCCTCGGATAGCAGCACCAGCCTCCCTCTACCCCAAAAAAAAAAAAAAAAAGTTTTAAAATGCTATTCGCAATTCGCAAAATGCAAACAGCAAACAAACAAGCAATTCCTCGAATTATAAGTTCACCAAAAAGCTGAATATACCTGCATCTGTATCCATGTTTGTCAACTTGATTTTTTTTCAGCGCTTCACTACACCTGTCACAACTGAAAAACACCATGAGAGTGGTACTACCTGAAATAGGAAGACAAATATTACTGTATTACGAATCTATTAGATTTGAACTAGAAATTGATACGAATGATATGCTTAGACATGCTTCGAATCGAAGTTATCGTATAAATATTTCGGGTAGAAACTATTTCAAAAGGAAAAATGATCAGTAATATTTATTCAGATAAATAACACCACGATAATGAACCATTAGACAACACCCATATTATAGATATCACGGAAGAACTGATAAAACATATAAAAAACGTAAATATAATTACAAACAACATAGAAACCTGACAATATTAAAAGGAGTGGATGATAACATAATGAATTTTTATAAAATTCCAACAAAGAATACTTCAACTAAAAATTTTTAAATATTTATTCAGAATTTTTTAAACAAAACCTTCAAGATTTCGTTTAGAAAAACCATCAGGCGGAACGTTTGCTAGCGTTAAATTCTGGTAAAACAGGTTGATAATAAAAGTTTGGACCAGATGAAGTTAAAATAAAATATTTCCCGTGAAAATCAAAAAGTAAGGTGCAGTGGAAAAGTATATTAGATAATACGACAGCATATTCAGAAATAGCAAACAATGTATATATCCCAGGCTCACAGTATGTATTATGGCGTTCGAAAAAATATACGGCGAGAAAAAGTGATAACGCTGATGTTGAACACATAAGGACCTTGTATTGGAATGATTTCTCGCCCTGAATAAAGAAGGAAATTTAGGGATACATCAATATCATCAGTGGAAAGATGACACCATGTAATCTTATACTAAATATATGCGGAGAATTTCGCTATACTAATATTTTCTCAAAACGATTGATTCACTAGACAAAAAATATATCTTCCACTACATTATCTTTCATTTTTAATTTTCCAGAACGGCTGATGTAGAATTTATTAAAAGAGAAAAAAGACCAACTACTGAAGATGTACGACGTCTACCAGAATACTGAAACAGACTCGTTGCAATAAGCATATATATTGTTGAACAGAGAGCAAATCCGAGAAATGATACTTTATGCATAACTGAAATACTGATTTATATTTACTTGAAATGGCTACTCTTCATTGTTTGAATAATTCAAAACATATGAAATCAATAAAACGTACCATAATTTTCGGTAGATGAAGCGGTAGTTAACAAAAGAAGAAATAAACATTCCGCGATATTTACAAAGCATGCTATTTGACAGGCTAATTCGAACCATATACGATCACTTAACGGTCGCAGCGGAGACGTTAACAATAGATTCCTGTTGAAGTGAAAAAAATAAAATAAAATAAAAATCAGTCAATATAAATAATAAATTAGTGAATGATTATCATGGAAATGAATGTATCACAGGATCGAATATGGAAACTTACTTAAATGCCAAAGCCGCCACAATACGAGGTGCTGAATGTAAAGCAATGGAAAACCTCCAAATATAGCGCTCTGGTGAGAAAGATGCAACAGCAGCCGATATAGACGGTAAATAATTTACAACACCGCAATGAGTTCGAGTAGATTCATCCAGATGTAATGCTAATGCTAATAATATGCAAAGAAATAAAGCAGTGAAAGGTAAACCTGCCGTAATGACAACAAACCACCGAAATGAAAAGCACAGCAGTTCCTCCTCACCCACTAATGCCATCTGACATCCATTACTAAAAATAAAAAATCCTATTATTTTCCAAAACGGTAGATATAATTCCAATTGTTGGTCAATAACACACATATTCTTCACAACAATGCTGCCTATACAGCTCTTCTAATATTCACTGCCAGTTACTAAGTAATTCTCTGGTGATGAAACAAACAAATCTTCTCACTAACATGCTGAAGAAATATTTTATCCGCAAAATACACAAATGCAACAGTGCAAACTAGTGAAAAAATATTTATTAGTAAGAGATCATATTTAATCATAAATTTCGTTAAAATTCCCCCCCCCCCCAAAAAAAAGTTAACGATTTATCTCTTCAACTTCAGCAATCTTGAATTTCAATTCATTGGGACCATTAAAACATAAAATCTACATAAACGCTACGTATATTTGCATTTAAAAGCGATATCATAATATGACAGCCATCTGTGACAATCTTGCATATTATATTTCAAAGCTAAATCCCAGTTAAATTTATTAACATTTATTTCCTCAATCCTCTTCTCTTGAAGTTTCTTCTCCTCCAATACTTTTTCGCTAACAAATTCCACAGGAAAACGAAACCGTTCGCAGAGATACATTAGATAAGCCCTAGCCTGAAACATAATATTAATCGGTATGAAGTTGATTTGGCAAGTGTCAAATCTACAACTGTTATCCAATTGGTAACAATAAAATTTGAGTATTAAGCCTCATTTCATCAAGTGGTATCATAGAAAAAAATATCACTTTTCAAATAATTATTTAATGTAATTATGAATTCCTAAACATACTTCCAATTCCATGATGTAACCACCGACTTCGAGAATAATTCTCCTTGCTCGAACAGGTGTGACATAATGGTGTATATTTCCCTTACCACTACCCGGTTTCGCTCCAGTCGCTTTCTTTGTGCGTGGAAGCCAAGGTGCCGGGACTCTCCATATTGCAAATTGATTTTTTAAAAGATTCCTGTTCAAGCGGTCCTATAAATCAACTTGAATAGACGTAAGTCCTCAAGTTTAAATTACCCTGTAGTGCTTTGCACAAGTAATAGAGTATGAAAAATAAGCTAACAACGACTCGTATTTCTTTTCTCAAAACAACTGATCAGGAAGGTCTCAGATGCGATTAATTATAAATTCAGCGCTTTGGCTAGATAATGAAAAATCATAAGAACTTACGCGAATGAAATTGAAATCATATGCGCTAATGAAGCCACCAGCAACAGCAGCAAGACCGTACTGTTTATGGATCAATTCAGTATGTATTTCTTCGACACCACGAATACTAACGAGCTGCTTCGATGACTTGAATTTTTGTTCGCCTAGTGCGGGATCATAAGTCGGCTCCTCAGGCATTGGTGGCAATTTGTACTCTCCGTTTGGTGGAAAAACAACATCTGAAACGACAGCGTTGCAAAAGGCATCTCAGTTTCAATAAAAATAGATACTTGGATTAGTATCTATTTCTAGTGTAATGCGCTTGTAAACCACTTACGTAAACCATTTACCTCTTATTTGCGCTGCCTGAGATTACAAGTGCGAGATTCGCATTAGCATACAACAAACAATCCTTTACTAAACTTCAGTCAATTAAACTTACTTTCAAATGTTTCCGGCTCTGGTCTCGGTAACCATTTTTTGTTATTACGTAGAAAACGTATCGAATTTTGCCAGACTGGTTTTTCAGCCCGTCTGAGCAACATTTTCAACTAATTACAACACTGCCGCTTACTAATACTGCACCTGAAACTTGCACTTTCCAGTTATACATATTACCGCCTAGACACGTATCTGATCACTTGATTAATTTATGTTACGATGTAATTTGAGTCAAATACAAGTCCATTTATTGTTTTTACGTTAATAAAAAAACAAGATGAATCTCAGAAGAATATGTGGAGAATTGAGTAACATAAATGATACATATATTTAAAGGTAGCAAAATTAATCTTTGAACATAATACTTGGCGTGGATTTTATTTATTTAGTGGAGAATCACGATTTCATCATCCTACATTTTAAATCATCATATCCAGATTTAAAGGAAAAAAAAAGTCATGAGAATCAAGACAGATCCTTGTTAACGAGAAATAAGTTAGTAGAACATAAGAATCTTTGCTTTATGATTCGACAAACCTTTACATTTATATAACTTCTTCTTCTTGGCCTTCTATTTTCAAATACCGAAAGATCATGGAACGACCAACACTGAGCTCTCAAGCAATTTAAGAGGATTAGTTTCGATTATTGATTTCTATCAACTGTCGCTACCAATTTGAAAAGAAAAAAAAAATCACGAACTTAAAATCTCATTGCCAAAATGATTCCTTATCTCCTTTATAAAATTTCTTGAATCATTAAATACATGTAGAACCGATATTACCAGTTACCATCGCTGCTTTATGTTCCCTTTCAAATTCAAATAATGGGTCTGCCTTAATTTACTTCTTTTCTACATTATCCCAATACTGGAAAACAATCCCAATAGGTGGTTAATAAGAGAACATGGAGCTAGAAAGAGACATTTAAATGATATAAAACACGACCACATTTATTTAAAAATGCATTCCAACATCAAACAGCAAATGAAAGAATCATAATTACTCATGAATTTTAAGAATGACACCATATATGTGTATCACGAGCATCATAAGTACTGATAAGTATACGCTGATTGAACGACGTACGTGCACATGGATTTTAAGCGACGTACGTGTACGTAAACCCTACGTACAGCAAAAATACACAAGGGCTGTCTGCATGGCATTGTATCTATCGACAACCTACCTGACGAAATGTTCTGCGCGTCCCACGACAGAGCTTATGCACTTAAAGAAAAAAAGAAAAGGGAGACAGAGGGGCAGGGAAGAAAAAGTAAGAAAGATCAGGAGGAGTACAGAAATCATTGCGGGACCTTCGTTCCTAATGCAGCTTAAATGATCGGTGGCACTTTTTGATCGTACTGATTGGCTTCTGGTTCTGTTCTCCTTTCTCTTTCGAGATATCTTTTTAAGTTGTCTGGAGTAGGGCCAAGAAGAAATCATTCGCTCTCGGGAGTTCTGTTCAGTTTGCTTAGTGTTTTGGTTTTTGTTAGTTCACAACTAGTAATAATTGCAAACTTTATATAGCAGGAAAAGAACATTTACAGCCTGGAACGGTTATGATCAAACGTACGTGTCTTACGTTACTGAGTACTATACGTGCAGTCAGAATAGAAGTGCGAACAATTACACAATCCAACAAAAGGTAGCATCCTTAATTTACTGATTTTCTGGAAACGTGTGCGTTAGAGTGTCTTATATGGCGAAGTTTACATTACTAACGGCAACTAGTGGAAGATGTGTACCCTCCATTCTGCATTGTCCTTTGACATGGATAGAAGCAGACGTTAGTATAGAGAGTCCCATCTCGGAGATAAAGGCAGTGGGACCGTGAAATGTAGAAATCACATTTATATTCTAAGTTATACAGTATTCTTATTTGCAAGAAATTTTCCTTCTTTTTTAGAGGAACTTTATTTTATTAGGAATCTGAAAGAAATGGTGCTATAAAAAGTAATATAATAACGTTAAATTTTTTGTGATAATGACTTTTTCAGGTTATTACTTAAGGATAATTTCCCGATTTCAACGACACGCTTTTCATTTAGTGCAGCTGTGCAAAAGGAAGGAGCTAACGAAGCATCGAATTTCTCCTTGAAACATGCAAATGCAAGACTAACAAGTATTCTTTACCACTAATTCAGCTACGAGTTTGTATTACGTTGTTGATTAATGAATGATAGTGCTGGAATTTTGAAATGGTTTTGTACAGAGTTCGTGTAAGAAGCGACGACCGTCGTAAGATGATCGGTTCTTGATCGAAAGCGAAGCTTATATTCTTATTCTCTAAAAGAAGGTGCTAGCTGATATATTTTTCTGCTGCTTGTATTGTTTTCAAGAGGATTTCAAATTTTGAAAAAACAATTACAAGAAAAAGACTACAATTTAGGTGCTGAATTTCTTACGAAAGTAAAGGAGTCGATCGGTACTTCGGAGACTGGAGAAGATTTTGTAATACCTCGACCTGCGTTTGATGCTCTCGCTGCTGAATATGATATATTGTTGGATGAAGTAGCTAGTTTTAAGGTAAATTTGTGAGATGTTTATTGATAACATCGCTGGTTCCATAATATACAGCAGAAGGACCAAATTAATTGCTAAAGTTAGCGTAAGTTGAACAAAGGCCTTTTCATTAAAAAAACCGTATGCGTTTACTCTTGGAGCAATTACCACTGACTTGGCCGTATTTCGCAGATTGGATTACAGTTCGTCGGGGATTGATTCAGCAGTTTCTTTTTGTTTGCTTTTTTATGTCTTGTCATGCTGTTCCACTTTTTTATTTGAAAGATAAAAAAAGGCATGATACATTTTGTTGAAATTGGCCTGTACATGCTTTTGTTAGTGGTAGCCAGTGGTTCTTTTTTTTTTTGGAAATTTGTTACGAATGGAAATCTTATTTTGTAAGACTCACTTAGAAATAATATAATAAAATTTTGAGGACAAATATACTCGGGCATTAGCTGAAGTGGAAAATGTCCGTCGTCGTGGACATAACCAAACAGAGGAAGCGAAA